CATAAATGGGTGTGAGTGTGGGGGTGTGGGTGAGGGTCTTATCTCTACGTACTCACACCCACACCCACCCACACCCACTCACACCTACAATAGAAAGGAATAAAAAAGAATTTCTAAATAGGATTTAAACAATTTTTTGTTCTTTCTTATTATTTCTTTCGGTTGCCTTGGGCTTCATTCGACAAGAACGATGGATGACGATGCCTTATTAGTCGATAATGGCTTCTGTTGTTGCCAACAGGGTGTGAGTGTGGGTAGATATTTGTGTATAGGATTAAACTTTGCTTACAAACAACCCTACCCACACCAGTGCAAAATAACGTCTTTAGACTCACTTGTAGTATTTACAAGATCAAAACATATCCCTATTGAACGTGTAGCAAAAACTATATTTTTAGTTATAAGAATATCAGTTGATGAAAAAGTTTTCACTTTATACAGTCTTATTTTATAAAGATATAATCTAACGCCATTCATTAATAAAAAGAACAGAAATGTCAATGGTGTTTATGAATATTCAATCGATGTTAGGCTTTTTCAGTCGACTATTCATTCATTCGTTATGATTATCAAATAATGTGGTGTTTAAAATAAATGAATTGAATATAAATTAAACAACGTGGATAAACTAAATAAATCACTTGAATTTTTAAAATTACTTTCAACAACATCATCAAAAATATTAATAATCAAGTAAATAATTGGATCTTTGTCTGTTTTTCATTTTGTTTATATCTCTTATAGAATGTTTTTCTCATCTAGAGGTAACAAGGAAATTATTTTAAATTAATTAAAGCTAGCGTGGAAACATTATTTACAACATGTGACGAAAATGATTATAATGTACGATTGACTGCCGAAGAAAGTCTTAATAAATTTGTTAAAGTATTATAAAAGGAATTCTTTTTTTCTGTATAATTTTGTATGAATTATAAAATAGAATTTAAAAGAAGCAGATTCAACAAGAATTCAAGTTGAATTATATCGAATTATAAAACATAATCCTAATGTTGGACCAAATGCTTTGAAAGGTTATTTTTATTATTTGACTTAAATTAATAATAAGGATTTTTTTAAAAATTTTGATTAGGTGTTCTGTGATGATTTGCCGAATTAGCAAATGTAATACATCCGAAAAAGATTCAACCATTTTATCAGAATATTATGAACTTATTTTTGGTAGTCTTGGTCGACTGATTAATGATAAAGAAATTAAAGTAAGTAAAAGAAAAATCTTTGTCATCTAAGACTAGTTTTTTAAAGAAGTAATCAGAAAAATGTCATACGGTTGAATAGAAACATAGAAAAGAATTGCCCTACCATGTTTCGGTTAAAACTTCTAGCAGGAGAGGATGTTTTTCAGAAAATGTAGAATAGGCAGTCTGATACTATTTGACGAAATACGAACTGAGAAACTGTTCATCATTTGAAGCGATCCGCCCTCGAAAGTAATCGAGCGTAGAGTTTCATGCAACTTAAGAATGGTTTTGTCATAGGAGTTCACTGGCTATCGTTATAGTTAAAGTATGAAATCAAGTGAAAACGCATTCTTCTGTTTTTTTCCTAATATCAATAATAAATAGTTTTCTTTTGAAATATTTAGTAAACTACTAAACTATTCTTAGAAACTTCTCATGGTCTATTCAGCAAATATGTTATCCTATGGTTATAGTACGTTTTCTAATGACAAATGCAATTAGTAAGTTTTCTTTCAAATAATAATTTCAATCCATTATAATTGTCTTTTATTTTAATAGATCAATTACTTGAACATCAAAATCAAAATGCTAGTACACATTTAATAAAAAGAATTATTCAATTACTTCGTTATTCAAATTTATTTGATTTTGATCAATTATTAATTTCAACACAAATTGGATCTATAGAAGAAATTCATGTTAGTGAAGCCTGAAAAACAGGTAAATATTGAGAAAAAAAACAAGAATTCTTTTTCATTTGCTTTTTTTTTCTAAAACAATAGCTTATGCAACATATCAACGTTGATTTATTGAAATGAATGATGAATTCGATTCAACATCAATGATTAATAATGAAAAACGAACATCAGCTGCTAAACTTGTTAATCAATTATATTTTTTTTCCGATTAGATATATACTTAATATGGATGGTACGACAAAAAGTGATAATGAATGATGTATTAGTGTTAAATGTGCTATACCAATATGTCTATCGTATTTATCAACAATTTGGTCGATTTGATTATCCTACTGAAAGTTTGTTTAATGCTTGTTTGAGGCTTCTTTTTGTAAAATTTCACTTCAGTAAAATAGATTTATTTTATAATCCAAAATTATTTCTAATGTCATAATAGTAGGAAGGCTTAGGTGAAGGGGATTGTAGCAGAGTTTAGTTGACGAGGCTTCAATTGGTTAAAGTCTCAAAGTTTTAGTGAAAGTTATCTGATAGATATGACAATTTCACTATTAAATTGTTGAAACATATATATGTATTGGAATCTGAAAATTCAAGAACGGAGATTTCTGAATATTGATTCAGCAGCTCTAGTCCTATTGCTACTTTTAATTTTTTTGAAACCAACAAAAGACTAGAACATTGTCAGACTCGAAAAGATATCAAGTAGAACACTTTATTGAAGTTCAAAGCCTGCATTTATACATCAGAGATTGAAATTATACAATCATATAACTACCTCAAAAAAGTTCTAAGCCGAAGTTCGAGATATGAAATCAATTGTATCCTCTAAGGTGTTTTTCATTAGTCTTTGAAGATTTCTGATTCAATAAAAATTTTGTAACTGATATGAAATTTCCTAATGAGAAAAATGAAATTCTCATCTCTATATGACTTGAAATACTTTAAAATTTGTCGAACATCAAGGTATCTTTCTTTTTCTTTTCTTTAAGATATTACATATCTTTTATCTTTAAGTGAATACGGTGATCTACATTTACGTGGTGCATGTGCAAATTTACTTGTTACATTAATTCAAACAACAAATCATCTTTTAACACTATCATCATTATCAAATTCATTTAATAATTCTTTTATTAATTAATGTTCACTTATATCAACTGATTCACAAGACAGTTCAAGGTTATATGTCTTAATGATAATAATGCACGTGTTATACATGTTTCACTAAATGCTTTACGAACATTATTACCTTTAATAGTCATGCATTTACAATCATAGGAATTGAATTATTAGAAGATTCTATTCAACAAACTACAAGTTTCTATGTTCTTGCTAAAGTAGATAAAAGAAATTTATGATTATAATAATTTTTTTTTTGTATGTATATAAAATAGTTTGCTCTAGGTCAACTTATAGATGATACAGGGTGTCTCATAAGTTGTGGCAGATTTTTTTAAATCTAATTTTTGATGATAATGAATACAAATCAAACTCAAACTTACACGTATCATACAACTTAACATGTACTTTTATTTCATATATTTTATTTGAATTTAATCATTGGATATACAAAAAAATAAAGAAATTGGTACATGTGCAAAATAAGCACACCATCAATGTGTTACAATATATATACCCCGACAAAAGTTTCACTCTGTATTTCTCATATATTGTCACTATAAAAATAAGTTATTTTAAAACTAATTACATATTCTGAAAGCTCGCGGAGTTTTCTATCATTCTGTAGAATTAGGTTTTAGTTTTGACCTTTTCATTACCAAAATAAATTGAAGACAACGAAGGCACCCTCATGTCCAGATTCCCAGACTTGATCTTTCCTTCGTCATCAAAACTAGTTTTAAAAATTTTTCATCCGTATAGAATGATCTGTATGAAAAAGTAACTATAGATTCTGATAGAGCTTAAAATTCTCTATCACCCTGTCTATTTACTTATTTTCTTGCGTTTATAGATTGAAATAAAATTGAATACAATGAATATACTCCGAATCGACTAGCCCAAAAAATTTGCATTTTTTTTCGCTACTTAAATTTAAGACACTGTATTAATACATAATATCATAGAGCATTTCAAGTGCTATCAGAATGTGTGATTTCTTTTGTAAAAACTTACTCCCATAGGCAGGCCCCGCGCGAGGGACCCAAGATTGGGGGGGTGTGACGAGATTTCAAGGCAGTCAAGACTGAGGGAAGGAAAATTTTTTTCGCATAAGATCTGATGTTAATCTTTTTTTGCGGGCCTAAAATGTAATCATTTTTCGCGAAGCGACAACTTTTTGCAACCTCCTTAAAAAATTTGATTTTTTCTCGCAAATTTTCAAGAAGAGAACTCGAGTCCAATATGAGAAAATTTCTCGATACTGCCGTTATCGAAAGCGACCACTTTGGTGCAAATTGCTCTATATCAAGCTGTTTCAAAGGAAAAGTTGACTAAAG